AACTCTCCACAGTAAAACAATACTGTGGTGGCAGTGAGCATGTGGATGAAGCGTGGCAAAATGTGAAAGGAACTATGCTAGCGGCGTTCAGTGCTGCCTGCCCGACTTCTCCAATTCGATCACAGGACCACTGGATGTCGTCGTGGTCGTTATCCATGACTGATGCCAGGAAAGCCATACCAGCAGACAACGAGTACGACGGCGCACGCAAATCCCTAAAACGTCAAATAGTGAAGAGTTTAGGAAAAGATTGAGAGCTCTGGTGGACATCAAAAGCTCGGGAGATGGAGGAGGCTTTTGCTACGGGAAAAAGCCGTGCCCTTCATCAACGATATGATCATCTGGCTCTAGGAAAACAACGGTTAGCAGAGCTATAGGTGAAAATGATGGCTCAATAGTTCACTCGCAAAAATGTCGACTGGAGAGATGAATACGAACTCTTCGAAGAACAGTTCAGCTGGCCTCATGCAACACAACCAACCGAGGTAATGCATACGGGCGAATGGAATGTAAATATTGATCGCCCTTCGGAAAAGGAAATAAGGTACGAAATATCCGTACTGAAACGTGAGAAGGCTCCATGACCAGACGGTCTGTATCCAGCCCTCTTCAAAGAAGGCGGAAAATCACTGGTGACCCACCTGACAAATATTTTTGGCGCCATATGGGACGAGGAGGAATTGCCTGCAGAATGAAGGGTACGCGGACGCTATGTGAAAACCACCGTGGCATCAGCCTGTTAGCTGTGGCATCGAAGGTGCTCTCTGGCCTCATTCTTCGAAGGTTGACTGAACACAGGGACCGTCAAGCACTATGGCAGTGTCTGTGGAGCAAAGGTGTCCGTCATAAATTCTTGACCCTCATTAAGGCCCTGTACGTCAACTCTCGCGGTCGCGTAAAGGCCTACGGGAAGCTCTCTCCTGAGTTCACCACATCCAGTGGTGTTCGACGGGGCTGTCCTCTTTCAACTTTCCTCTTCAACTTCATCATTGAGACGATCATGGGAGACTCACTACCAGCCTCTAATGCCTGTGGGGTCGAAGTGCTCCCCCGGCCTCTGCTCACAGACATCGAGTACGCAGATGACATAGCTCTTCTTGGATCTGATCCCGTGGTAATGCAAACAATATTAAATAATCTAAATAATTCTGCCTCACTGTTCGGCATGCGCTTCACACCTGCAAAGTGTAATGTGCTAATACAAGACCTTAGCCCCATGCTTGCGGATGAACCGATTGAGGTAGTAGACAAATTTGTTTACCTGGGCAGCTGTATCAGTCCCAGTAGTCTGGCGAAAGATGATATTTCCATCCAGATTGGGAAGGCCAGAGCAGCTTTTGTGAACCTACGTCACCTGTGACGTAAGTTTGAGATCAGCTTCTCTGTCAAGGGTCGAGTTTACAATGCTGCGGTGCGCTCCATATTACTATATGGATCAGAAACCTGACCGCTGCGCGCCGAGGACGTCAAAAGACTCTCAGTGTTTGACCATCGATGTCTTCGGAGTATTGCTCGAATCTGGTTGGAACACCGGATCAGCAATTCTGAAGTACGTCGAATGGTATTCTGGAGAATAACTCATCCTCGATAGATGAACTGATCATACTGCGCAGGTTGCGCTGGCTTGGCCACGTGTTGCGTATGCCAGTCGACCGACTTCCTCTAAGGGCTCTTTTTGCGCAACCACGTGGAGGGTGGAAGCGAAGTATGAAAGCCATTACCAGCAAACTCAGCTGCGCCAGTCATTGCCGTCTTCCTGGATGGGGACCCAGAGACAGGCCACATCAATGGCTGATGACATTGTCAGACATGGCTCAGTTGCGCCCTCAGTGGCTTACGTGCATCCAAACTGTTGCATAGCTCCTTTTCCAACCCCCTCACCACTTGAAAGCTCACTGACAGTGCTGGATTTATGCACTAAGTTATCAGTTCGCTCCTGCAACACGCAGCTACCTACCCCCCAATCATCGGTGAACGTAACTGCGACAGCTACAACGACTGTACGACGAGTACGCGGTTATTACAACTGACAATGATGATGATTGAAGTCTGATTCGCTGAGTAAAATTGTGCACTCTCTGTGTATGTATCCTTCCCTTCAAAACCCTTTATTCCTTGTTAGTGTTTGCAATTTTAGCGGTACAATCCTGTTGCTCGTGAAAGATGAGACGTGTCAGATTAAAATTCTTCATTTGCAATTCTTTCATTTAACAAACTCGATAGTTGCATTACCACAGTACGAATACGGTGAAACAAACTCAAATGACAATATTTCAATAACCTTATCTGAGGCAAGCTAATTTTTCACTGAGAATTCAGAATTAGTTTAATGTTGCTACGATCCTAACCAAAATCTCGCCAACAAGTCCATCACGATATTATTGGACAAACTCAGTGTCATATATGGTTACTGTATCACATCGAACGGCGCTGATAACACCCGACACAGAGTGGGTAATGCTATATACGGTTTGTAATGAGCCAAATGTGTGGCTACCTGGATGACCTATGCTGTGTATATGCAAACAGACTTCAAAACATTTTAAAATCATTGTCCTTCCATGTGCTCGAGAAGTCAAGGAGCGATCTTTACACACATCGCATAAGCTCTGTTAATATTAGCCAATACATAGAATGGTAAATTCAGTTAGTTGCCCGCCATTTTATGGTACATCAGTATACTAGATCGGGTGATTTGTGAACAGTATCTCCCCCGCACTCCCAGCCAAACTGCTGATGAAAGTTCATTCTACTGCTTGAACGAAACGTCTAGGACCCGTATGTTTTTCCAGTAGACTGAGAAAGTCAGGTGGTTCATGTAATTTGTCGATGATTCTCCCCATAGACTCTATAAACAATATCGTAGTTATTTATCAACAGTGTAAACCGGTGAGTGTGTGTTCCTGTAGCACAGTACCACGGAGATGATAGCTAGTGAGTCCTCTCAGTGATCCTTGATGAGCCTACATAAAGGTAAAGAACTCTGGTGAAGCATTTTAGGGTCATAACATATTTATCCTCATACTACCTGTTATGATATTCTTCACCTGAATGTGTTTCACAAAAGTTGTAAGCTGCCGAGGGATTTCCAGCAACCTGACCAGTAATGTTTGCCGTCTAGATAATCTACTGGGATATTCTGAATTTCGTTAACCGGGACCTAAGGCAGTCTGTGTGAAGCACCTTTAGTTGAAAACACCATAAATGAGACATTCAGTTAGGACTCAGTGGAGTCTACTATTAAAATCCAATTACCCGGAAAGTGCATTTCTGGAAATGTGTCCAATCTGGATTGGAGTCGGAAGTGAAGTTGACTGAAGGGAAACTCGGAAACTACGTCTAAGTGATGAGCCATGGGGTGACGAGACCGACCATGGGCTGTTGAAGAGTATTCAGCAATCTTATGAGTACTGTGCTCTTAACTGATTAAGAACTTGCAGCTAAGTGAGTGTTTTGGTGATTGAGCAGAAAGATTTTCGATGGTGATGAAAACCCAAATAAATTTTTAAAAATTTTCTTTACAGTTTGAATGCCGCAGGCCGTTTTTCATTTGAACAAATGCCTGAAACCATTGAATAAAAGGGTATTTGAATTGCTGTGAAGTTTTCCCGGGTATGACGCTACTATCCTAACCACCCTGTCTAACCCTTACTTCACAACCTGGTAATCACCTAACCCCATGAAGGTGCAGGTCTATTCGGCCAGAACTATTTCTCTTCAGTGGCACTGTACTGTCTGAAAAGGTCAGCGACTAGGTAGACTGACCTGCAAGCTTGCTGATAAGTCACGGTTTCTTAAAATAGTGTATTTTATCGGATATCCCTTTCAAATATGAGCCTTTCTGACCTGATCAATGACCATCCATAACAAGTAAGCTAGAAGTGTTTCATCACTAGTTAGTTGTGTTACTTACCACTATATCGGTTTGTACACTTTCAAGTAGAGAACTCGTCGCCGCACTTCCCCGTATGGGCAAGTTTTGCAAAAATGAAATTGCCCCATCAAACGCTTCTTTTATTGCTTCTTCCAACCCGATTGAAAAGCCAGTATTTGAAGTTCCACTGATGGCAACCACCACCGCATCCAGAGAGATATACACAAACGGAGTGCATAACACGATAAACAATACTGAAACTCCAATTGCGATCCCCAGGCCAAGGTACCATCGACTTTGTTGGACTGAGATTCCCATATGTTCCTCAAAAATGCTGCTGTTTTGTCTTGGTGGGAGTTTCTGATTTTGTGCTTCATAATGATTTTTGTCCTATGTATGAGGTTCACAAACAAATTCGCTGAGTGTTATTCAAAACCGTTTAAAATAAACTGACCTCATTGAAACCATTTAGAATATTATTGTCAAAGTATTTGCTGTGCTACTCACCGCATTGAAAAGCATTTACAGTAATTCATTATCCTCAGCTGATATAAAATGTTCTTGACTCAATGGTGTCACAGTTTTATTCACTTCGACTCGCAAATGCCTAGGTGGCTGTAGCAGCGCTTGCGGTTGTAATGTTTGGAATTATTATGGTAGCTGAACACGGTTAAAAGAACCTAAATGAATCCAGTCTTTCAGTAGCTTTCAACAGCGGACGCAGAGGTGGCATGTTTTAAACGTCTCTTGTTATGGTTTCCTGTCATCTCGTATTGTTCCAAATGTGCCATGTTGACAGCCGCCCAGTCTTTGAGATTCACGTCGCACATCCTAGTTCGATTCCTTTCAAAAACTCCGTTAATAAGCTGACATCTGTTTAAGAAAGCCAATAAAAGTGTTATTGCCGTTCGATTAAAATGTTGAACCAGCTAATGAACCTGAGCAGTGGTTTAACTGCCGTGTCAAACAAGTTAGCAGCTAGCGTCTCACACAGACCAAGATGATTTTAAGTTTGGTTGTCCTGTTACATGCCAAGTGAACCAAACGTGTTGTTGCACCGCTAAGCTATGGAGCACCACATTGTGTCACTGGTTGAGCGTTTAGTAGTTATGTGTGTAAGCACACGTGGAAACAGAGGTGATGCCAGTCCGGCCATCTTGCCTACCTCAGTGGCCCGATTATGTTGGTTGGTCGTGGATAGATAATGTCGTACCATCTTTCCCCTTCCACTGTTCTCAGTCTTGAGCAAAGTTGTGGCTCATTCAGTTCAGTAACTTTCACAGTTAAACAAGTGTTTGCCAAAGTGCTTTGGCTCCGGCTGGCATAGCTTAGTTCAACGAAGATAAGGACGTTCGTTGATGTCAGATGGATATGCCTATCCAGTTTGGCAGGCACTGGTAGCTGTATAGTGAAGGCAATAACTCGGATGCAAGACCATTATATCTGTCAGAGTGGTTGACCGTTGGCTTATTTAGGCCTTTGGCTCTCATTCAGGGAGTTGACAGTTACTAAAGCGACTGAGTTGACTGGCTTTCATGCTTCATTGCCACGTCACAGACTGATCACACTGGGTCATCTACATATTGCAGAAGGCTTGGGGCAGACAGCTAAGTGGAGAGACGGTCCTCTGGCATACGACTTACCTGTAAATGGTAATCAGCTGATCAATGGAGGGAGAAAGAACGTTCGCGAAGGCCATCTGGCGCACTGATTGTTTTCATCAGACTCGCGCACGGATAGTCAGTCAAACGGGGCCTTTGAAAATATTGCTCATGCAGCGCTACATCATGGATCATAAATTGAAACAGATCGAGCCGTGGTGTCGTACATTCTACTCTCGACAGTCAATCCATCATGTGGGCCTAACAAATGTCGGAGGTTAGCAGACGTTACCCTGGCCATCCTCATTCGGAACTGAATTCTCCTTTCGCTAGATTGATGGAACTTATACAGCTGCTCAGAGAGACGAACTTATCCATCCATTTTTTAGTTCGCCTGCAGACATAAAGTTTGGGTTGATCCCACCCGACCTTGCAGCAGCACTTCACACTTTGAATGTGTGAATCACGTACCAAACTGTTCATCGGAACTACTTAGGTAATTTAAAAGGGTGCGAGTGGAGGAGAGCAAGCGCCTGTCTCTAAGGTGCTAGAGGTAGGCTAAGAAGGCTCGAAGAGCGTGCGATTACGAAGATGAAGGTAAAGAAATAAAGGGGACGTCCAGGCCTAACATTATTTTGTGAAATCGGGAAGTAATTTGCCGTTGACACTGAAGCTTCTGCGGGAAAAGACGTACAAAGCCTTTATAAGAGAACAGAATCTAAGAAACATTCTTTACAGCGACAGACTGCCACATTTTCAGGCGATCGGTGCGGTCAAAAGCAGATTCAAATCGGGAAATACGATCATTGTTGGCCGTTCGAAAGAGTGGCTCAGTCTCCGATTTCTTCGTAAGCTGAGAGTAGAATCGATGCAACCCCTGTCTGGTCAATACCCAGCTTGATTTCCGCGAATGTGGTTCTCCAGGGGACGGATCAACTTGCGTCGAATAATGCCAGAGAACATCTTGGAAGACATAACCACTGGTCTGATGATCTAGTGTTTTTGAACGATTTTTTGCATCTTTTTTGAATATGGGAACGACAGTCAAGGCGCTCCATTCTGATGGATGTTCTCCTTATTCCAGACAGCTTGAAGTAGAGTCACTTGGCCAGCTACAATGTACTGGCCACCATATTTGGAAAGTGTGGGTCTGATTCAGGTGTGCTGTTGCGCTGAAGCAGCGGGATTGTTTGCTGTATTTTTGTTGTCGTAGAAGGACTGATCTTGACGTCCCACTTGGATTCAGTTGGTCACCCGCAGAAGTTGAGTCGACAGAGTTCAGCTAAATTGTTCTTTAAAGTGTTCAGTCCACTGTTGGAAACGACGTTTTTTGTGAGTTTCGAAAAAAAATAAAATACCGTCTGTCGCGTCGAAATCTGTTGATTTTGTTTGAACCAGCCAATTTAGCGGCGTAAAGATGATTGTTTACTGGAACGCAGTCAAGTCAAGCCAAACACAACACTTAAACCTAAACAATGCATCAAGATCACCAGCCACCCGACGAACAAAGTGCGAGAAATCTGGAATCGCCCCAACTAGCTTAAGGTGCACGATTGAGCCGCGGTCTAGCATGCGCGTTTCGAAGGCATGACAGGGTATGAGCAAGAACTCCTTGTTGTCGAATTTGAAACAGTAAGGATGTTATAAGGAGCAACATGAAGCAACATGAATTTGATATGGGTTTGTTTTCGGTCCATTGTTCCAGGCAGTGGTTTAGATACTGAGCAACTGTCAGGTCACGACAGCTAAATGAATCAGAAAGCCTCATATGAGGAGTCTGTGGAGAGGAAGAGCTTTAAGATATTTCGGGTCGAGTGACACTTCCAGGCGGCTCAGGTCAAAGAATGGAAGTTGGTTGGGGTACATCGACTTGGGCCTATGGCTCAATATTCTAAACGTAAGGGTTAGGATTTCTTTAGGTAATCGTCCCGGAGCCAATGCCCCAACAGTCTGGCTCACCTGGCTGCAGGCGGCTGGCCCGGAGCAGAGATCCAACGGGCTGACTGCTAATGCGGCTGCACAAAGCAGGTGCCTTTGAGCGGAACCAGAATCTTTGGCTTTAAAATTATTCTTATGCATCGGTAGTTAAGGTAAACCATGGGGCGTTTTGAATGTGTGATTACTGAGGTCGATCTTTTCCAAATCGCCCTTTCTCTGGGAAAAGTGGCAACTTATCTTCCATAAATATGGGCACACTGATGGCCTGGTGGAAACATCTTTATGCCTTCACACTTGTATCGCAGATAACGGCATGCTATGATTTCCACCCGTGAATTTATAGCGTCGAAACTCTCATACACCACCTTGTCTATCAAAATACTCAAAAATTATTACCAGGGCCCCCGATTTAGGCTAAATATAGAGTTAATAGCATCAAGCGTACCTTTAGACATTTACATTTTGTACGGGAATTCGTTAGACGATGAAGCTGTCATTTACGTTTCTGACACATTATTTAGGAGCGGCTGATTGTTAGTATGACACGTAACAGTTTTTTTGAAATCGATTAGGCGCTAAATATGACTCCGGTGGCCCCAATGTGGTTCATTTAATCATATATATATATATATTTATATAGGCTGTCAAATTTGGGGCAAGAATATTTGCAAAAATTCACAGTTATCGTTGGCTTTTTGGTCTCATTGTGCTCTTCGTGGCTGGATTACTTCGATGCAATACTGCCATTCTCTCCATGTATTTAGCTGGGGTTTACTAAGGTTTACGGTGACGGAACCTAAGAAGAAAACACGATCTCCGTCTTTCAAACACAAATCGGACAGTCTCGTCGCTAGCGTTTCAGGATCCAGAAAAAGAGGTTTGGAAACTTCTCTGCATATCTTTTACAAGTTTTTAAGATGGAGTTCCCGAAAGTGAGACAATTGGCCTTTGTTTTGGTTATTGGTTTAGCTGTTAACTTGCGGGAAAGTCACGTCGATTAGCATGGGGTGTTTACAAATAGAATGTATAAATCAGTGGATAAGCCAACGGCTCTCCACTCTGCCTAATCTGGAAAAATCCATATAGTATCGAACTAACGACTTACCGTTTCTAGTTCCTCAATTATTGTAGTTTTCGAAGTACAGTGGGTCTTGTGTTTTGAGCGATTTTTCCGATATTTATAAACTGTGTAATACTTGCAAGGAGCCACAATTAGGACAACTAACATGCAAAAAGTCACGAGAAATGCAATGATCCCCAATGCAATCTGAATAGGATAAAATGTGACTTGGATTTGAGTTGGCTGAACATTCTGTGGTAAAACTTCTATCACCGGGTTGTTTTTATTGAACCTCAGCAGCAATTCACTGAGATAAGCAGCAAAGGAAGCCCCCGTAGTCTGTGGAACTGTCAGCAATGTCTCATTGGCACCAGGAACGACGACTGGTTGGAAAATGTAGTTGAGTAGTCCACCATTCAAGGAAGGCGAAAACAGCGCGGCAAATCTGTCAAAGTTCGCCGCAAAAGCCCGTTGGACTTCCAGAGCCATTGCCGTCTCACGGTCCTGTGGCGTCAAAAGAGGATAAGTTCAGATTGGTAGCGGGCACCACACATGTCAAAGGTAGGTTTTTTTATTTCAGATATTCTCCCTTTTTGCCTTCCATTATAGTGACAAAGCGTCTAACCTAGTAGGCAGTCAGCGAAGTCCTGATTCAGACATCGGACTTTTGTCTTCAAATGTTTCATGATGGCTGCAGAGTCGTCCTTCGGACACATTCGGATATGTCACTTTTTCTTGGCGTCTATGAAATATATCAATAAGAAAAAAGTGCTCCGAACATTTGTCTTTAGTTGCTTGTTTAAATGACATTCGGCATACACTAACTTTGATTGCACATAGAGTAGGTACCAGTGCTTTTTATACTATACATAACTTATGGTTTTGCGCTAACGTCACGCCTGCGTAATTCGAAATGAGACTTTACCAGGCTGAAATCCTGAGAGATGTGATATCCAAAGCAGACAATGTGGCACATTTATCTTAACTGATTTAATCAAGAATCCCTTGAGCTGACTAAATAGTGAGCATGTTGGTTTTGGTGCAGTTACCCAGGTGTTGAACACTCATCTCCCACTCATGGAAGCAGCCATTAATTGTCAGCATGGCCCAGCAATAATCAAGCCTACATGGCAAAGTGTATATGCTTGTCCTTGAGAAAATATGTATGCAAACAACGTCCGTGCCGCCTAAGATGAACGAATTCTACTCAGCCCAAGAGAGATGGATGCCTTAGTGTTGGTTCGAGGTGCGTGTCATTTGCAAGGAGGGAACACTGATCAGTAGCGTACTACTTAATTATGTAAGCTCCGTCTGCTTTATGTTCATAATGATATGTAGTTAAGCTGAAAAGACACTTTGTTGCTAGCTGGGCTATCAAAAAGCCTTTCCCAAGCTTAGCTTCCGAAGTCCCCCCAAGCGTTTTAGGTTAGGACATAACAAAAGGATATACAAGAATAGCGTCGTGTCATTGGTGACAGAAATCGCCAGTATTTTACTTGCTTGTCTTTGGAAGGCCCCCTGCTATTAGTCTCGTTTTCCTCAGGGATAACTGGCGCAGCAACAGCACTCCTGCAGGATTTTTATTCCATATTAACTCTTAAAATGCGCACAAAAACAGTGCATTCAAACCAAGGAAACCCGTACTGTTTCAATAGTGTTGTGAGCTTATTCGGCAGACGCATATCTTCTGCAAAGTCTTCTGAAGGTTAACAAATAAGCGTCGTAAAGTTATATTACTCTGGAGGCGACCCAAACGCAATTATCACCCTATATATAAAACTATTCAGAGAGTTAAAGAATTATTCTCAGGTATCGATGCATTTAAAAAAGCTCACACAAACGATGGGATCACCGTCAGTCACTGGCTAGGACTTTTCCGGCAGATTTGGAAGTGGCGTTAAATTTCGCCAGGCAAACATCTACCAGTTAAAGCTTATCCGAGTCGCTATCATTCAGTCTTTCCTTGTGAACTGTCGGACATTAAGGGAAATATAATCCACGGACTTAGCAAGAGGCTGGACAGTACTTCTTCTGAAAGTCAAGGAATCTTCGTAGCCTCCGAAAATGTTACCACACTGTAAGGTTACCGAGGAAGAAAGATGCTTGAATCTAACAAGCTGGATAGTGGCTGATTAACGTTTCAATTTTCGGTCTATGTGTGTAAAAAGAGTGTACAGTGAAAATATCCTGTGAAGAAATTTCTTACAAGCCTTCTACCCCGCATTTTTATGGCGTTCAACTAAACTTAAAAGCATTACGCAGCCGTGCAACGTAGTGCGAGTTAGGATTTCTGTCTGGCAGGTGCACGTACATTAGGCAACAACAAGGGCGGTGCGCTTCCAAGGCGGACGTATTGTAACATGCGATACAGTTATCGCTGTTCACGTCCTGTGGAAGCATCGATTTTTCCGCTTCGCCCACGGAATTTTGGATTACATTTGCAGGGGATTTCAAAAGCACTGGACTCGGAACGACCGGTCCATCAAAAATAAGTCCACAGTACTGGCTGAGAAGCCAAGAAAAGTAAATTATCGCTCCTGCGATAACTCTTTTATTACATCTAGGAAACAATATTTGTTTAACGCCGCTTCTGCAGACCACAATGGCCGAGAAAAACTACCATTCCTTGTAAGATTTTTCCATCCTCAAAACAAGCTTACTGAATTGTGTTAAGATAAATAATGGTCCTTTAATTTTCTTTTCTTTTTTGGATTTGCCAGAAACTAGCAAAGCATTCACTTGCTTCTGCAGCACTCATGATCAGGGTTTTAGTACCTAGCATTGATATCGGCTGCGTAACAAATAAAGCACCCATCCTTTGGTATACTTATCATCGGTATCGTCACTGGTACGCTGTTATCCTTCAAACAGTTATCGCCACAATTTAGAACAGTGTCAGCCCACTTATTGTGGATCCAAAGGTTGTATTCTGTTTGTATTTAAGTCGGAACGTAAGTTTGACGGAAACTCGGGGACTGCGTTGACCCGATGAGCCTCAAGAAGGGTGAAACCGGTCGTGAGCTGTCGAAGAGTTTTCAGCAACCTTATGAGTAGTGTAATACGCCTATGCAACGTATTCTATTTACTTTACATTATAGTACCAGTTTTTCCTGGTAAACTCTGGGGATCTTCGCAGTCAGAGGGGATCCATATTGTTATTTTACCAACTATGGCTGCAAACGTACTTTTGTCTCTGTTCTTTCCAAATACTTTGGGCCACCGTGGCGCTTGACATGGACACTAAAAAATTACTTACTCAAGCTAAAATTCGGGAAACATACTGAGCCTCCGAAAAAAATTAGGGTCGTTTTTAAAGGTGAGAACAGTTGTAAATTTTCATATTGCCAGCAGTCACCTAATGTTACATCCTACTAGAAAATATTATTATGCAAAGTGTTTTCTAGAGTGTCCAAGAGATGCCTTCACATCGTACCTGCTAATTTCCCATGCAGTGGACATTTTTGTTACTCATGAGTAGCCAAAATTATGCGGCAAATTCGGGCGGGGGGGGGGCAGTTGGTGGTTGGTCAACATACGAGGCAATAAATTCAGTGGGAGTGGATGTAGGTTTATTTGGAACTTTCTGGTAAACAAGCTATGTCTACCGCAATTCACTCAATTTTTTTGTCTACCACTAAGATATACTCCTAATCTACAAATTGTCCTGAACTGTAATTTCGGCTACTTCAATTTTTTCCCTACTCTTTGTACCGTGGCGAGCTTTGCCACAGCCAGCCAGCACTTTATATCACCACGGAACATCGTGCGCTCTCATTCGATCATACGATTCGCAAAAATCTTATAAGAATGGTTTTCGCTATCCCTCATAAGTCCGTTTCTCTTTATGGGAATTAAATACTCTTTGATAACAGGTAACATTCCTTATTAGAAATCGCTCCCAGAATTCAAGAGAATATAACTGTGGTCAACTGGCTTGAAAACTTAAAGAGGTAAAAAGAAAAAGTAATAAAAGCACTCCATTTTTTCTCCCATCCACATGGCTTATGATGATTGCTATCGGTTATTTTCCCTAAAAGTTCTGTTAATCCCAGTGAGCGTTGGGGAGACGTTTTGACTCACTTCCATTCCCATTTCACGGCGACTCCCAACTCGGATTTGGGGTCACAGATTTGCACCCTCGTGCACTCACCGTGCCAGTGTCATTTGCGAGAGAGAAATAAACCAACACTTGGTGATGACACTGTATGAAGCACTGCGCGGAAGATGTGACAACCGGTCTAACTGACTGTGTGCTCACTGTGCACGCATGCAATAGAGGGAAGTTTCCTATTTTCGGATTTTCCAGAAGTGAAGGAGATTTAAACTCTGATACCCTCGGGGCCGAGAAGACCGTTACCAGCTTGCTTGACTTTATCTCGAATTGATCCGTTGTTCACACAGTCCATCACACGTGGCCGAACCCAACCGCAGTTCCACGCGTACAGATAAAGCCCCTTGATAGTAATATACATATCTGGATGTTTTGACCCCTGTATTTGTATGGCCTAAGGGGACTTATAGAAGCGGTATGTTCGTCAAACCTGATATCCTCTGTGACCAAATTGGAATTGATGGTGTCTAATAGGCTACAGGCACAGCGAAGAATTTGCTGAGGATGACGATAAACTTAAGGCTGTCGACCAGGAGTGGTTAGTAAAACTCAAGACAACAAATCTTGGAAGACCATTTCAAGTAACCGTCGCATGAAAGCGAAACATGTTATTCAGATTTGCCGATTATTTTTCATTCCATACACCACTGTTCGCCCAGGATTTAAATATGACCACAATGTCTGATCAGTTTCAATGTCCGATTGATAGAAATTCTCAACTGGACATGAAAACGGACCAGACACTTTGGTCATACTTATATCCTGGATGAACAGAGGTGTATGCTTAACTTACAGTAGTATGGAATGAAAAATGATCGGCAAATCTGAGTAAAATATGTTTCACTTTCAGTAAAATGACTCAGAATGATAACCTGTCAAAAAGCAAAATGTCTACAATTCCGATTTTGCGCCATCGTTTTAGACCTGCTCCTTTCAATAGTCAATGCTCTGTGTTAAAATGTACGACAGAATCTGCTAGAATCCGGTCGTTGTGTGCTTCATCCAAAGGCATAAAAGTGTTTAGGAAAGATTACCTCGGATACTCGTTTAACCTACCCCTTATTTCTTTTGAAACTGCTGTAGAACATATGGCGCAGTTTTTGTTGGGGAACCTTTGTAAGTATCCTCTTATGACGGTAGCGTTTCCAGTAAGGCGAAAACAGAACATTCTTTCAGATGCCAAAGCCTACAGATAATGGGTATTGTCTCTAAAGAAGCTGAACACGCCCCGGTTTGGGAACTGTAAGGTTAGACAGCATGCGATACTTTGGATAAGTAACAACGGTTGCGTTATAAAGATGGAGAATGTTGGGTCTGAAACCATTGAGAAGCTAAAAATCCTACAAACCGTAGGAACAGAGCCTTAATTCCGTTTCTTTATGGAATGGATTTTTTACCCCTCAATCACAAATGCAATTACAAGCAAAGAAAGACGCACTAAGGCATCACTGGCAGAAAGTTTTCAGAAAGGTTTACGGGAAAGGTACGGTATGATTTTGATGAAGCCAAGTCATCTGGGGGAAATAAAATAACTTAGTGTATCGCTCAATGCGGACGGTTTATCAGGGTGTGCTACAGCAGTTGCGCTTGAGCTAGGATCTCTAGAAAGCCTTCTTCATCAACTTCCAGAAGTTTTTTCGGAAAATCTTTCCTCCGAATAATTACCTGTACTCTCCTCCGGATAAGCTGGTGGGTTATTAGCCTACATTAAAGCTATGCTAATTTGCGATGCGTTTGGGCATGATTGTCCCGCCCATTCTTAGCACTGTATCGTACCACCTGTCAACGGGCATGACATTGATAGGAAATATTTCGGGTGTCAGCTGGAACAAATGACCATAGATGAACGCTTCCATCAGCAGTCTACTATGACCTTCTGCCATCTATAGTTTTCAGACCATTTATATTTTGGAAGAAGGCCTGAACAGAGTAGATGGACCTGGCGAGCAATGGTTTCGTGCGCAAACACGCTAAAAGACAAATGATTTCATGGGTTTTGTAGTCATAGTGTGTTAACTGACAACAGAAAGCCGTGCACACACAACCCAATTTTTTACGTAAGTTCTGATCCTCAAACCTGACCATGGATCGCATGCATATTATGTTATGATAACCGTGTGCCTGTCGTGTGCTGTATTGATCACACTTGTGCTCTCTCAATATGCAAATGAAAAGCCGCATCAGTCGATAGGGGTTTGCGCAAAGTGCCGCGCAGCAGGAGAGACACTGCTATTGAGTTAAAAAGAGGAGTGGTGAGAGTGGGGTAAAGCTCCACTAGTGTCGGTTTTTAGAGCTCCAAAAAAATAGACTTCGGCAGTTGGTGGTTGCAATTCTTTCTCAGCTTCTCCACCCAGGGTGCTGTGGTGACTACGCCTGTTGGGAAAGTTCACTTATGTGATGATAGAACAAACCTGCTTCATCTATTTGAAAATCAAATTGCAGTTAACAGGATACTTGGCACAATCCCAGCTTAATTTCTCGCTCACGACGGGCTTTAGTTGACCAACAATAATGTAGTTAGCATATGAGGATACTTTGCCAACTATGTACATCTTCGTATTCAAGTTTAACGGGAGGCCATTAAGAACTCGGGGACTATACCTGCCGAATGGGCCTTAAAGACGGCAAAGACATTTGTGTGTTGTCGAAGTATTTTCAGAAAGCTCTTGAGCAATATGTTTTGTCAATCAAATACGAAATTTCCTCTTCAAATTTTAGTTCGATCAAGAGCCCCTTCATGAGGACTGATTGAACTCGGTGGAATAGTGACGCTCCTGTCGGAGTAGTTTGGAATACTGAGAAATGTGAAAGAAAACCAAGTCTCTTCCGGAGTAACAGCAAGTGAGCCTGAAGAAACCAAGTTCGGCTCAAAGTCTGGTAAGACAACTTTTTTCAAAGATCATATGTCGAGTGAAAACTCTCCGTAACTACTTCCTCTGCAATATAGCAACCTTTCCGCTTAAGGTACTCACGAACTATGGGTTATTCTCTACTCCAAAAGTAGTTACCTCTCAAAAACAACGAAATCCTATTGATTCCTAGAAGTAGTGGTCAAGCTGATGGAACAGTATGTAACCGCTTCCAATTAGCCATCTCATTAAGATGAACAAATGAGATGACCGAGTAATTAGCTAATTACAAAGAATTTATGAACCCATTATCTACCAGCGCATGGCCTTATTAGACGGAACCGCTCATTGCGTCCGTGTTTGTGAAATGATCAGGCTGTTTTATCGTTTCCCTGTCCCAAAGGCCGGATTACTGTCGAGGTGAAAAACCTCATTTAGCATAGTTTGTTCCTTAGATAATTGAATGACTTCAGTTAGAGTTGAAATGCGTGTTTCTGAAACATTGCAATTCAAATTCGATAGCCAGCGGATCAGATCAAACCTCTTCTAGATATATATGAAAGAAGCAAAGAAATGTGGCCAGAGGTGACCGACTCGGAGATGACAGACTTCATGTTCTGTATTTCGGCTGGTCAAAGTCGCGGGATAACTAAGAAAGATGATTAGGTTTCCGGCAGTGCCAGAGGTTAATCAGCTGTCGACAAAAGCGATGCGGAGCCATTTCATGCTCTCTGAACCTTTTAAGCTGAACAACCGATGGGTTCTGGTGGGTCAGTCATTCTGTACTCTCATTCATACCTTCCCTTTGGAATAAATTCCGTCAAGACTGTCACTGCTCTGTCTGACGCGGTGGCCTCGACCCCTGCCTTTTATACAAGTTGTTTGAAGCCAGATAGACTTACCTCAGTACATTCTTGCCAGCTGAATTTGTATGGTATGTATAGTTAATAACCGTGAAACACAAGGTAGCTCACCAGCCCATTCCACTGAATGAGGTGTTCAAATGAAGTGTATCAAGCTAGAATTCACAAGCTATATTTGTATAACAGTTCGTGTGGCCTGGATGCACAGACGGATTACCGATGTGGGGAGGCTAGCTGACGGGAATGTTCATTCACGAAATTTCTTCATCTGGCTGGATGGATAGGCCTAGTATGAGCACATACTACGACTCACGATGTCGTTGACTTGTATAATGGACGTTTATGTTAAGCGACAGCAACTTTGGATCAAACTGGATAGATAGCTCACTTTTGAACTTATAAGGGTGCAAGAAAACGATAATTGTGGACTCATTCTTTCACCAAAGTATGTCCGAAAACAGTTTGTTGCACGCAAAACAAGAGGTTAGTGAGAAGCTTAGCACGAAATCAACCACTCATGTGTGAGAGGTTAAACCCAGAAGAATAATTCCGCAACCGTCAGAACATGCTGTTTTAAAATGGCTGTCAAAAGTGTTTTTAATCATTTCATGCTCCACGTCCTTGCTTTCAATGAACGCATCGATGAAAAAGAGTAACTTCCGAAAGAACTGGAAAGAGGACTACAGAAGCATGCTGGCATTTGTTTACAGCGCCCACCATAATGTGTTTTTAACATATCTGAATCGACTTCGTTATATTCCTCAGCTTTCTTTCTTCAGCGCTCCAAACAAACCCGACAACAACAAGCAGGCCACCCCTCTTTGGTATCGCTCTTTGGAAAGCAAAAATGTGTATACTTACAGGCTTCGATTTTCGAGAAGGAGCACTTGCTCAATTTCGTTTGATTTCTCGCCTCATGGATACGTATTTTTTCACCATAAAGGAAGACGCAGGGCCCTCCCTTTGTGAATAATGAACGAGATCTCTTCCAGCAAATACATCGCAGCCTCGCAAGGACCATTGTGTTTTTTACAAGTAGAGCTAACTGGTTACCTCATGGGACATTTTCAAGCTAAACGCACCGTGGATACAACCATTTGGGAGTCAGTTTCTTACTTGTTGAAGACGTTTGGAAAACTTGACCAATAAACTTAGCCCCATCTCCTCCAGCAGAGATCTTTGAGGCACGAAAGTGGTGAGACTTGGACCAGCGCAACTTGCTTATGGTCTATGCTTAAAAAACTGATTCAAACTGACTGCTTAGATAAGGTGTGTCAATCAAGAGTACGCCTAGTATACATATGCATGTAGGCTTCCGATATTAGGCTTCAGGCAATATAAATTAGGCGATAATATTCTACTAGTGAAAAAGGTAGGAAATAGACCCGCAACGTAAGTGCTATCATCTCATTCCATAACCGAAAACCTCATCGAAGAAAGCCACCACAATTTTCTGGTATCTGATTTTTGTCGTACAAAGCTACCAGCTAAAAGCCGTGACAGGGCGAGCCTACCACTGCTTTCAACCAACTCAACGATTGTTAAGAGAAATTAATTAAACGACTAAGTTTTATGGTCAGTGAGCTGTGCAGCACGACTGTCCTCGTATATTCCCTTACTATCAGGAACAACGGCTAACACTACTGAATGTATACAGGCGCAGACAGACTTGTAAAGCTTGGTAAATTTTACTGCAGGGGTGAGAAGTACAGTATTTCTCCCATCAGAATGACCACTTGAGGCTAGAATAACGTGGGAAGAATACAGAAGTACATTGACATAACGACCTGTAAAGGCCAACTAAGCAAGTGATGTAATTTGACTTCCTTCAGGTAGTCGGGTTCTTCTATGATAGAAAGCGCTGAATCGGCATAAGCCTTTTAATGCATGCTAACAAAGATGCCTGCACAAAAACTGAACCAATTGTTGACTTCTATTCCTGCGGTATCTGGAAACAAGCGCAACTTGGTGGAGCAGAATTGGGTTTGAAAAAGGCGCGCAGCAGAAATATTCAGGTTGCACTGTCTAAGCTTGGGTGTTAGATTACTTGAGTCGACCGAAATTATATAGCAGGAAATGGCGTCGCTAGAATTCAGACATTCCCAAGCATGCTGCTCTGTGAGGAAAAACAAAGTGGAGTTTTTTCTGTAAACCCTCGGGCTGTACTGACGGTTTTTCTAAATATATCCCACTTCATGCTTGACCATCAAAGTTATCTGTACGATCGTCTCAGGCCAGACTACTTTGAACAACGTCCCAAAACTGCTGCAACCTTCAGGAAAGCCAGTTGCTTGGTCAACTGTAGGTTACTGGAAACAGTTTTGTACCCGAAGTGTGGAATATGGCAACCCATCCCAACTTGCAAACACAATTCAAGGCCCAATAAATCCAATAAAGGCAAAGACATAGACGAGCAGGTCAACCTTTGATGGAAACAAAGATTTCAGTAGCACGAAAGAGGCTTTTTCTTTCGAAGCTGCCCAAAGCCATCAAAGAAGAAGCGCTCTGAGGAAGAGTGCTATTGTTCATTTTGGATGCTAATTTAACCGTCTTCTGCCCCATTTTAAATGATTTTGCGCCAACGGTTTGATCCGACGGACAAAGATTCGAATGCTCATATTTGTGGGTGATGTTGCATCGTTTTTGCAAGGTAAATTTTAACATCAGGTTGACAGGGTGCAAAAGTTCAACCATTCATATCTTGCAGACGAAACTTCCCATGTTTTAGGCCGCACCAAAAGCATTTAGTTGGAGCATACATGTACATATATAAACATACCTGTACACCTACATACATAAACACATTCTGAGTAGCTCTTTGGTTTTGCAAACAAACTGCACCCCTAAAGAGCGATGATTTTGTATATATTACTTGTGTACATATTGATGGCGGATATCTGGTCTAGTGCTGATGGGATTTCGGGGAGGCTGGTTTATGAGGATTTTCTGTATATTCCAAATCTGAAGCTTACGGGGATGGATTGTTGTATTTTAAGGGGGGAACGTATGATTGGCGCGCACACGGCACCCGGCATGAGCGCTTGTGCTGCTATGGGTATCTCATTATGATTTGGGGTAATGTCCTCTTCCGGAAACAGGGCAATCGGCCAAACCAGGTTGGATTGGGCATTGATTGGGCGGTATTTTGTGAAGCGACATGTATTACCACAACTGTTGTCTTCAAGAAAAACGAACTATTCGTTTAGTTTTCCAGTGGATTCCTCTGATGCCTTAGAGAATACAAAAGCAAGGAATTCTATGCACAAAGGCTCCTGCTATCAAGAGGATGTGTAGACCATGAGAAGCCACACGATATGTTCCAAACCTATAACAAATCATGGTCAGCCTGTGGTTGCCTTCCGAGACTAAATTCAATATCAACAACTCTATTTGTGTTATCACACATTGCCACCCAGTTTGATGAGTATGGGTGACGGGTATGCAGTAACATCCCACTTCCTATTAACGGTTGTGGGACTTAATTCAATATCAACAACTCTAGTTGTGTTATCACACACTGCCACCCAGTTTGATGAGTATGAGTGACGGGTATGCCGTAACATCCCACTTCCTATTAACGGTTGTGTAAACTTCTTGCGCTACCTAAAAGTTACATGAACTGTCAAGAAATTGGCAGGTAACAATAAAAAATGTCATAGTTCTATGGGGGAAACTTGGTGCGGTAGGTGTAATGGTAGCGTATTAAAATAGCAGTTTTCAGTAGTATTTGCGGTCTGAAGGCGCGTCTGGATTGAAACGTGTGACATAAGTGACTCATCTGAATAAGTCACTTTTTTGGGCTAAACAACTGGGTAACCCTTAGGAGAGCTCATGAGGGTACCAAAAACATCAGGTTTGGGAATCCCAATGCCAATGAGTTTTTGCATTCCTGTTCACCTTATTAAACTCAGTTTAGTTGTTTGCAGAGTCAATGCCAGGATGTAGACGCAACCATTTTGATTTCAGAATAACAGTTAATTCAGTGATATATTGCGGGTTGAAGGTGTGCACATTACTGGCTTCCTTTTGCACGGGTGCTTATCACCATGACAGCACTATATTGTTGCGAAAGCAGTACAAAATCGTTTCGCTTCAAGGTGATACTATCCGCGACTTCATTTACTTCAGTGAAAATAAAAAGGGAATAGGATTTTGCTCATAAACACCAAAATTCGCTCAAATGCTGTTATAATATTAGACCATTGCAAAAAGTAAAGTTTGTCATCAAATCAGTCTCTCTGAAGTCAATTTTATGTGTAAATGATTTGCATAGTCAACTGATGTAAGCTTGAGTTTTCAACAGTTAATCCTCGATCATATCGTCCTTCAAATTAAAGTACAGCAGACGGAATCGTGGGTCCGGTTGTACCTACTTTCGGGATTTCGAAGTACTGCAAACTGCTACCAGATGGTCACTAAATCTAGACGAGGCATCTAAACAAAATTAAAAGAAAGGTACTTACAGCAGGTTTCCGACATGAGCTCATTCCTTACACTGAAACTAACATTAGAATCATCGCCTCGTAATTCCTTCTACACGTTCATGTCTTGACGACCCTAAAGAACAGCTCAGCAAAAATTACCGTCCATTGTTTCATTAGAACAAACATGGCACTCAACTCTTATTAGAGCTGTCACACTTTACACGTCTGTGCTTACCTACTGGTGACACTGTGTGATACATTTTGATTCCCGTCCTTCTTCTTTACTGCTACAGTGTTCCCTGACGTACAGCTCCTGCCTTTACACCTTCCCATCAGGGAAACCAGCAACACAATATCCGAATCAAATAAACTACTCTGCCGCACTTCTTCCGGACCCGTTCGCTTACAATGCGGTGCCAATAATAAAACTGCAGATACAATTCTGCCAACAAGCTACGTATACCGGGATTAGTGGGTTCTTGAAGTCGAAGTTTGTTGTCCTTGAACCTTGACTCAATACCTAACTGAGTTGATGCTAAGGCGCGACCCAATCAACTTCTAGCTGAATCCTCCGTCTGTGTATTCCTCGACTGAATGTGCTACACAAAGACTGTCTCATGTCTCAGCTGGTACAATGTTCGGAATACTGCAGCATATTTTCTTGTCGGAGCACAAACTTATATTCGGTACGTTCAGGAATACCTCCAACCAGCTGAAGAATGAGTCGGCCTCTGTGGAGCATATTCAACTGGGGAATGTCATAAATGAGATATTCAGCTTGGGTTCACTTGACTGTTTCGTTAACACCAGCTTAGTTTGCAGGTGAGTGTATTTTGCCCAAGGTGTTTAGGTAAAACATAAGGTTGTCGGCAGCTCGCAGAGTTCACCTCTCGAGTGTGTCGCAAGCAGTGAAACCGGTGATGGGCTGTAGAAGAGTTCTCAGCAACCCTAACCATTCGCTCAACGGAACCCCAATCTAGTACGGACGTACTACATCGTTCAGGTGGTATGAATACCGATACTTTGAGAAAAACCATAATGCGGACCGCGTTTATCATTGTCGCGGAATATGGTTTACTCGACTGGTATGCTGTAGCGGCTTATCTTAGTTTCTACGATCTCAGGGTATGAAATACAGTGGCTGCATGAGAAAGATATCTTTTTTGTTGTTGTGTGCGCATCAGCCAGCGTCGGAACCAGTTATGGAACAACAATGTAGTTGTTCAACCTGCTGCAGAAGGTTACATTGAGCAAGGACGTGAATCATCACATTGGAAGATGAGACCGTCTTAAGTAGCCGTTATCCTGGAGACGATTCCCATAACGACGATGACGAGGGTCTCCTCCAGTCTTTTGCAAACAGTTACTTTTGTTACCAAGCGCCAGGTTCTGGTAAACTGTTTAACAGCGCGTCACCACCACATA